GTGGAATTGGTTGTAATGTCTTCTTTTTCATTTTTTCTGATTTTTAAAATTTGGGCCTTTATTTCTTAGTCTGGCTAATGGTTTGCCAATTTTGTTTATCTTTTCAAAAAACCAACTTTTCATTTCATTGATCTTTTGAAATTTTTTTAAAATTTCAATTTCATTAATTTTTGTTAGGATCTTTTTTATTTATTTTGTTCTACTAATTTTGGGTTTGGTTTGCTCTTGGTTTTCTAGTTCTTTAAGATGTATTGTTAAGGTGTTTATTTGAAGTTTTTGTATTTTTTTAATGTAGGCGTTTATTGCTGTAAACTTTCCTCTTAGTATTGCTTTCATTGCATTCCATAGTTTTGGTATATTGTGTTTCTATTTTCATTTGTTGCAAGAATTTAAAAAATTTCCTTCTTATTAGTAATTTCTTCATTGACACACTGTTCATTCAGAAGCATACTGTTTCATTTCTATGTGCTGTATAGTTTCCAAAATTCCTCTTGTTATTGATTTCTAGCTTTATTCCATTGTGGTCAGAGAAAATACTTGATATAATTTTAACTTTTTTTGAAACTTTTAAGACTTTTTTTGTGGCCTAATATATGGTCTGTCCTTGAGAATGATCCATGTGCTGAGTAGAAAAATGTGCCTTGTGCAGTCATTGAATGAAATGTTCTGTAAATATCTAGTAGGTCCATTTGGTCGGTAGTGCAAATTAAGTCCGATGTTTCTTTTTTAATGTTCTGTCTGGATGATCTGTCCAGTGCTGAAAGTGGGGTGTTGAAGTCTCTACCTATTATTGTATTGGGGTCTATCTCTCTCTTTAGCTCTAATAATATTTGCTTTAAATATCTGGGTGCTCCAATGTTGGGTGCATGTATGAATATACATGCATGTTATATCCTCTGTTATATCCTGTTGCTAAAGACCTTCTTTGTATCTTTCATAGTTTTTTTCTTGAAATCTATTTTGTCTGATGTAAGTATACTACTCCTGCTCTTTATTGGTTTCCATTGACATGGAATATCTTTTTTTATCCTTTTATTTTCCACCTATGTGTGTCTTTATAGGTGAAGTGTGTTTCTTATATGTAACAGATAATTGGATCTTTGATTTTTATCTCTTCAACCACTCTATGTCTTTTGATTGGAGAGTTTAGTCTATTTACATTCAGTGTTATTACTGGTAAGTAAGGACTTACTCCTGCCAGTTTGCTATTTGTTTTCTGGTTGTTTTGTGGTCTTTTATTCCTTCTTTCCTTCCTTCCTGTCTTCCTTTTAGTGAAGGTGATTTTCTCTGATAGTATGTTTTAATCTCTTGCTTTTTATTTTTTGTGTCTGTTTTTTTTTTTTTGGCAGAGTCACCCAGATTGGAGTGCAGTGGCATAATCTTGGCTCACTGTAACATCTGCCTCCTGGCTTCAAGTGATTCTCCTGCTTCAGCCTCACTAGTAGTTGGGATTACAGGCATGCACCACCATGCCAGCTAATTTTTATATTTTGAGTAGCTGGTCTCAAACTCCTGACCTCAAGTAATCCACCTGCCTTGGCCTCCCAAAGTGCTGGGATTATAGATGTGAGCCACCATGCCCAGCTTTGTTGTATGTTTTTTGATTTGAGATTACCATGAGACTTTCAAATAGTATCTTATAGTTCATTATTTTAGACTGATGACAACTTAATATAGATTGTATAAACAAGCGAAGAGAAAAACAAATAAAAACTACATTTTAACTTCATTCCCCTCCAACTTTTTACCTCTTTGTTGTTTTTATTTATATCCTATTGTACCATCTATGTCTTGAAAATTGTTACGTTTGATAGGTTAATCTTTTAGTCTTTCTATTCAAAATATGAGTAGTTTACCCACTGTAATTACAATGTCATACATAGTATTTTGTGGTTTTCTGTGTACCTACTATTACCAGTGAGTTTTATATATTCTGATGATTTCTTATTGCTCAACCACATCCTTTTCTTTCAGATTAAAAAACTCCCTTTAGCATTTCTTCTAGGACAAGTCTAGTGTTGATGAAATCCCTCAGCTTTCGTTTGCCTGGGAAAATATTTCTCTGATGTGTTTGAAGGATATTTTCATGGATATACTGTTCTAGGGTAAAAGTTATTTTCCTTTAGCACTTTAAATATGTCATGCTACTCTCTCCTGGCCTATATGGTTTCTACTGAAAAGTCTGTTGCTAGATGTATTGGAGTTCCATTATATGTTATTTGTTTCTTTTCTCTTGCTGCTTTTAGGATCTTTATCCCTGATTTTTGGGAGGTTGATTATTAAATCTTGAGGTAGTCTTCTTTGGGCTAAAACTGCTTGGTGTTCTATAATCTTCTAGTGCTTGAATATTGATATATTTCTGTAGGTTTGGGAAGTTCTTTTTTATTAATATTATTCCTTTGAATAAATTTATTCCTTTGAATAAACTTTCTACCTTGATCTCTCTCTACCTCTTCTTTAAGGCCAGTAACTTTTAGATTTGCCCTTTTGAGGCTGTTTTCTAGATCTTATAGGAGTGCTTCATTGTTTTTTATTCTTTTTCCTTTTGTCTCCTCTGACTGTATTTTCAAATAACCTGTCTTTGGGCTTTCTTTCTTCTGCTTGATCAATTCTACTGTTAAGAGACTCTCATGCATTGTTTGGTACGTCAATTGCATTTTTCAGCTCCAGAATTACTGCTTGATTCTTTTAAATTGTTCCAAACTCTTTGTTAATTTTATCTGATAGGATTCTGAATTCTTTCTCTGTGTTATCTTGAATTTCTTTGAGTTTCCTCAAAATAGCTATTTTGAATTCTCTGTCTGAAAAGTCACATATCTCTTTCACTCTGGGATTGGTCACTGGGGCCTTATTTAGTTTGTTTGATGAGGTCTTGTTTTTCTGACTGATCTCCTTGCTTGTGGATATTCATTGGCATCTGGGCATTGAAGAGTTAGATATTTATTGTAGGTATTGCAGTCTGGGCTTGTTTGTACCTGTCCTTCTTGGGAAGGCTTTCTAAGTATTTGAAGGGACTTGGGTGTTGTGGTCTAAGTTTTTGGTTACTCTGGCTGTATCTGCATTAGGGGGCACCCCAATCTCAGTAACGCTGTGGCTCTTGCAGACTTGTAGAGATACAGTCTTGGTGGTCTCGGGTAAGATGTGGGAAAATGCCCTGGATTATCAGGCAGAAACGCTTTTTTTCTTTTCTTACTTTCCCCTCAACAAACAGAGTCTCTCTCTCTGTGCTGAGTTGCCTAGAACTGGGGGTGGGGGGTAACACAAGCACCCCTGTGGCCACCACCACTAGGACTACCCTGGGTCAGACCTGAAGCCAGCATGGCACTGGGTCTTGCCCAAGGCCTGTGGTGACCACTGCCTGGTTATTGCTTATATTCATTCAAGGCCCAGTGGTCTACAGTCAGCAGTTGGCAAATACAGCCAGGCATGTGTCCTTCCCTAAAGGCAGCAAGTTCCCCCAGGCTCTGGGTGGGTCCAGAGATGCCATCTGGGAGTCAAGTCCTAGAGTCAAGAACCTTAGGAATCTAGCTGGTACTCTGTTCTACTGCAGCTGAGCTGGCACCCAAGCCATAAGACAAAGTCCTTCCCACTTTTCCTCTCCCCTTTCTTCTAACACAGTAGTCTCTCCCTGCGGCAACCACTGCCCAAACCCACAGCAAGTACCACCTGGCTTCTGCTGATATTCACTCAAGGCCCAAGGGCTCTGCAATCAGCCTGTGGTGAATACTGCCCAGCATGGGTCTCTCCTTTCAGGGCAGTGGGCTCTCCAGGTCCAGGCAAGACCCAGAAATGCTCTCCAGGAGCCAGGCTTAGAATCAGGGACCTCAGGATCCTGCTTGGTGTGCCACCCCACTGTGGCTGAGCTGGTACCCAGGTTGCAAGACAAAGTCCCATTTACTCTTCCCTCTCCTTTCATCAAGCAGAAGGTGTCTCTCCCCATAGTCACTACAGCTGGGGAATGTTCTGGGTCACCCTTGAAGCCAGCATGGCTCTGAGTCTCACCCAAGGCCCGCGGTGAGTACTGCCTGGGTATCACCGATGCTTATTTAGGACCCCAAGGGCTCTTTAGTCAGCAGGTGATGAATCCTGCCAGGACTGGGTCCTTCCCTTCAAGGCAACTGGTTCCCTTTTGGCCCAGGATATGTCTAGAAATATCACCTTGGAGTTAGGGCCTGGAATGGGGGCCTCAGGACTCTGCTTGGTGCCCTGTTCTACTGTGGCTGAGCTGGTATCCAAGTTGCAGGATAAAGTCTTATTCACTTTTCCCTCTCTTCTCCTCAAGCAGAAGAAAGGAGTCTCTCCCAGAGCTGTAAGCTATGTCACCTGGGATTGGCAGAGGGGTGGCAAGCACTCTCATGGCCATTCAGGCTAGTGTCTCACTAGGTGACGTGCATCCCGAGACAACTGGCTCTGATCCCTGCATAGCACTAGGACTTGCCCAGGAATTGCAGACCTCGTGGCATAGATGGCCTTTCAAGTTTATTTAGGACCCCATAGCACTTTAGCCTGTAGTGGTGGGGCCTGCTGGAACTCAGATTCCAACTGTTGGGATGTGCGTCCCCTCTGGCTAGTGCTGGTCTAAATGCTGCATCCATGGGTGCCAGCTGAATTCTGCCCCATGTTGCTTTCTACTATGATGGGAAGCATTGAGCTGTAGTGCAAAGTCCCACAATCACTGTGCTCTCCCTCCCTCAAGCATACAGATTCTCTGTCTGCACTGTGTGGCCATTGCCAGGGGTATGGGGGAAATGTGGTGTAGGCAGTTCAAAACTGTCTTTCCTGCCCTCTTCAGTGCCTCTTTCCTTAATATGATGTTAAAATGAGGTACTGTGATTGCTTACCTGATTCTTGGTTCTCATGTTGGTGCTTTTTTTGTATGGATAGTTGTTCAATTTGGTGTTTCTGTGGGGTGGGGTGGACAGTGGAGGCTTCCATTTGACTATCTTGCTCTGCCTCTTGTCTTTGTCTTGTCATGTGTGTGTTTCTGTCCATTCTTTCAGATGCAAGACTGACTCTGAAAAAATATATTGCAAAAGTCTCTTTAGCTGTTACTGACACTGAAAAGGGATCAGGGAAACTCCTTAAGGAAGACAAGGTACTGTATTGTGATTATTGCTTGTTCTGTGGTGTTTTGAGAATTTTGTCTTATATTTTAATTTTTGCACTGATGTTCTAAAGGCACGTAGTGGTCCTTACTTCCTCCTTCCTCCCTCTTTCTTTCCTTCTTCCCTCCTACCTTCCCTTCCTTTCTTTATAAACCTCTAATAGAGGATAGTCTGATCAAAACTAAAATAAATAGTATTAAAGAGTGACATAGAGATGTACTAAGTATCAAACCCAGCGACATGGCTGAATCTTAGAAATGTAATATTGAGTAAAAAAAAAAAATCAAAGACTACATAGATTTTTATAAAGCTCAAAAACAAGCAATTACAAACTATATAATTTAGGGATGCCTACATATGGGAATAAAACTATTTAAAAAGTCAAGCGAAGGGATAAGCACAGATCATAGTTATCTCTTGAAGGCAGTCAGGGGGCTGGGATGGGGAGGGACAGAAGCTGCATTAATAGTACTGGTAGTGTTCTGGTTCTTCTGTTGAGTAGTAGGGTCCAAAATAATACAATGGAAATATTCATTTCATTATTTTGCTTCAAAACTGAGATATACATTATATATTTTGGTATATATGTACATGTACAAACCTATTGCATATTATTTAATGTGTCAAATTTTCCAGAATGGGAAAAAAATACACAGATATAAACATAGTAATTTTAAAGCCCACTTGCCCACTCTAAGTACTATCTAAGCATTCCCTGTGGAATAGTTTAGTGCTCCGAATGTACATTTAAAAAATATACTGAGGGTATCAGAAATGTGTTTTGGTTTTAAATTATTTCCTATATTTTTGTGCAGGATGCTCTGTGAATTTCCTGTGACCTATTATTCAGATGAAAAAGAATTGGGTATTGCTAAAAGTGTAAGATATCACCAAGTCTAAGCATTTGATAAGTTATACATTTTCTCTTGTGTCTTGTAGAGTACTCTACAAAATCTCTTGTGAAACAAATAAAATGTAGGAAAAATTCTGTTAGAATAGCTTTTGGAGCTATCAGATCTGCAAAAAGCAAAATTTCCCTGACACAAAGAAATAGTGCTTTGTCAAACTAGTTACTAGAACATTCTTATTTTAATTTTTAAAAATTTGATTATTTGAACTAGAAATTATTATGTATACATAGTAATTATTAGAAAAAAATCAAAATGTCTAAAGCAAGCCTAATAGTTTTTCCTTTTCTATTTCTATTCTTATTACGCACTCTGTGGTTCTAATAACAATTTTGTGTTATGTTTTTCCTTTCACTTATATAATCATATGTATCCATACACATAATAGGAATTTTATGAAAGATTTTGTTTTTATAAAAATGAGATCACACTTATATATATTATTCAATTTTACTTTTTTTCTTCTTCATAAGATATTAAGGACACCTCTAAGTCTACTTCCTTCTACATACTTCTGCATATTCTACTGCTTGTTATTTAACAGTGTGGACAGGACATACCACAAATGTATTTATTTATCTTTATTATTACAGATCATAGTACAATAAACATCTTAAATCAGACATCAGAAATTTGCTGCATATGTGCAATGAGATAATTTTACAGTGCAAACTGAGAGATTTTCAGTAAGGTGGAACTTTTCTTGTATTTCTTGAACTTCCTCCTGTGAACCATTTGAGAGGGAATAAAATATCAGCATTGTCTTTTGAGTTGCATGCAACTCATACCATCCACCTATTCTTTTCTGGTCTTTACAAGTACTTCTTTTAGTCACAGGGCTTACCAAAAATGAAGAATTAGGGAGAAAGTGTAGAATGGTACCAGGCTTCATGACTCTTGATGGTGAGTTTTATTGTGCTCATATTCCACTAATGTTAGAGCTGCAGTGTCCAATATAATAGACACTAGCCACATGTGACTATTCAAATTTGAATTATTTAAAATTAATTACAATTTAAAATTGTAGTTCCTTAGTCACCCTAGCCACATTTCTAGTGCCCAATAGCTATTTATATCTAATGGCTACTGTATTGGACAATGCAGGTACAGAATATTTCTATCATCACAGAAAGTTTGGTTGGTTTAGAACTCTGCTGGTTTTAAACCAGCAGAACACGTGCTGGTTTAGAGATACTGTTGAGTTTTATTTTTCAGTAAATAAGTGGAGAGCAAACTCTGTATTTCTGTCCCTAGAATACCATCCTCAGTGCATGCCGTGCAAAAAATGAGTGGTTGGAAACTCATACAGAAGCTTCCATTAATGAGCTTTTAGAGCAGAGACAACAACTAGAAGATACTGTGACTCCTATCTTCGCAAAAATGACTACACCACGTAAGTTTTGGATAAAAGGTGGTTTGAATGTCAGAAGGGATGAAAATTAAGTTCAATGTTGTTATTTCTGAGATATTCTGATTTTAACAATCTTCATTAAGTAGTCATTAACATTGTTACAAGCACTAATCTATGATATAGTTCCCTAGTTTCATTATTTTCAATATTAGTAATAACTAATAATAACTGAATTCTTCCTACAGGAAATGTCTAATACTAATCTTAATGTTACCATTATCAGTCATTAAATTTTATGTGATTACTGTCGCTTTGCTTTGTTTTTTTTTTTTTTTTTTTTTTGAGGCAGAGTCTTGCTCTGTTACCCAGGCTGGAGTGCAGTGGTGTGATTGTAGTTTACCACAGCCTCCAACTCCTGGGCTCAAGTGATACTCCTGCCTCCTGAGTAACTGGGACCACAGGCGAGCATCACCATGCTTAGCCAATTTTTAAATTTTTTATGGAGATAGGGTCTTGGTATGTTACTCAGGCTGGTCTTGAACTCCTGGCTTCATGTAATCCTCCTGCCTCAGCCTCCTGAAGTGTTGGCATTACAGGTGTGAGCCACGACACTGGGCCTGTCTTTGATTTTGATTCTCATCTAGGAAGTATCTCCTCCTGGGAGATAGGGTGGCAACATTTTATTTTATTTATTTTTATTTTTATTTTTTTCTTTCAACATTTATTTTAAGTTCCAGGGTACATGTGCAGGATGTGCTGGTTTGTTACATAGGTAAACGTGTGCCATTGTGGTTTGCTGCTCAGATCAACCCATCACCTTGGTATTAAGCCCAGCATCCATTAGCTATTCTTCCTGATGCTGTCCCTCCCCCAACCCATACAGTGTATGTTGTTCCTCTCCATGTGTCCACGCGTTCTCATCATTCAGCTCCCACTTACAAGTGAGAACATACGGTGTTTGGTTTTCTGTTCCTGCATTAGTTTGCTGAGGATAATGGCTTCCAGCTCCATCCATGACTCTTAAATGGACATGGTCTTGTTCCTTTTTATGGCTGCATTGTATTCCATGGTATATATGTTCCACATTTTCTTTACCCAGTCTATCATTGATAGGTATTTGGGTTGATTCCATGTTTTTGCTATTGTGAATAGTGCTGCAATGAACATACATATGCATGTATCTTTATAATAGAATGATTTATATTCCTTTGTGTATATACCCAGTAATGGGATTGCTGGGTCAAATGGTATTTCCATCTCTAGATCTTTGAGGAATTGCCATACTGTCTTCCACAATGGTTAAATTAATTTACATTCTCACCAACAGTGTATAAGAATTCCTTTTTGTCCACAACCTTGCCAGCATCTGTTGTTTCTGGACTTTTTAATAATTGTCATTCTGACTGGCATGAGATGGTGTGTCATTGTGTTTTTGATTCGCATTTCTCTAATGATCAGTGATGTTGAACTTTTTTCATGTTTGTTTACTGGCCACATGAATGTGTTTTTTGTTGTTGTTGTTGTTTGTTTGTTTGTTTTTTTGAGGCAGAGTCTCACTCTAGTCACCCAGGCTGGAATGCAATGCTCACTGTAACCCCCGCCTCCTGGGTTCAAGTGATTATCTTGCCTCAGCCTCCTGAGTAGCTGGGATTACATGTGTGCCACCATGCCCAGCTAATTTTTATATTTTTTGTAGAGAGGGGGTTTCACCATATTGGTCAGGCTGGTCTTGAATTCCTGACCTCAGGTGGTCCACCCAGCTCAGTCTCCCAAAGTGCTGAGATTACAGGCATGAATCCACCATGCCCGGCCTTTTTTTTTTTTTTTTTTTAATGTTGTCTTTTGAGAAGTGTCTGTTCATGTCTTTTGCCCACTTTTTAATGGAGTTTTTTTTTTTTTTTTTTTTTTTTTTTTTTTTTTTTTTTTTTTTTTTCCCTTATACATTTGTGTAAGTTCCTTGTAGACTCTGGATATTAGACCTTTGTCAGATGAATAGATTGCAGAAATTTTCTATAGGTTGTCTGTTCACTCTGATGATAGTTTCTTTTACTGTGCAGAAGCTCTTTAGTTTAATTAGATCCTATTTGTCAATTTTTCCTTTTGTTGCAATTGCTTTTGGTGTTTTATTCATGAAATCTTTGCCTGCGCCTATGTCCTGAATGGTATCGCCTTGATTTTCTTCTAGGGTTTTTATAGTTTTCAGTTTTACATTTAAGTCGTTAATCTATCTTGAGTTAATTTTTGTATAAGGTGTAAGGAAGGGGTCCAGTTTCAGTTTTCTGCATATGGCTAACCAGTTTTCCCAACAACATTTATTAAATAGGGAATCCTTTCTTCATTGCTTGTTTTTGTCAGGGTTGTTGAAGATCAGATGGTTGTAGGTGTGTGGTCTGATTTCTGAGTTCTCTATTCTTTTTCATTGGTCTATGTGTCTGTTTTTATACCAATACCATGCTGTTTTGGTTACTGTAGCCTTGTAGTATGGTTTGAAGTTGGGTAGCAGGATGCCTCCAGCTTTGTTCTTTTTGCTTAGGATTGTCTTGGCTATTCAGGCTCTTTTTTTGTTCCATATGAATTTTAAAATAGTTTCTTCTAATTCTGTGAAGAATGTCGATGACAGCTTAATGGGAGTAGCATTGAATCTATAAATTTTTGGGGCAGTATGGCCATTTCATAATATTAGTTCTTCCTATCCATGAACATGGAATGTTTTTCCATTTGTTTGTGTCCTTTCTGATTTCCTTGAACAGTGGTTTGTAGTTCTCCTTCAAGACGTTGTTCACTTCCCTTGTCTGCTGTATTTTTATGTATTTTATTCTTTTTGTAGCAATTGTGAAGTGGATTTCATTCATGATTTGGCTATCTGCTTGCCTGTTGTTGGTGTATAAATATGCTAGCAATTTTTGCACATTGAGTTTGTATCCTGATAGTTTGCTGAAGTTGCTTATCAGTTTAAGAAGCTTTTGGGCTGAGATAATACGATTTCCTAGATATAGGATCATGTCATCTGCAAACAAAGATTATTTAACTTCCTCTCTCCCTATTTGAATACCCTTTATTTCTTTCTCTTGCCTGATTTCCCTAGCCAGAACTTCCAATACTATGTCAAATAGGCATGGTGGAAGAGGGCATCCTTGTCTTGTGCTGGTTTTCAAGGGGAATGCTTCCACCTTTTGTACATTCAGTATGATATTGGCTGTGGGTTTTTCATATAGGTTTCTGATTTTTTTGAGGTATATTCCTTCAATACTTAGTTTATTGAGAATTTTTAACATGGAGAGATGTTGAATTTTCTCGAAGGCCTTTTCTTTGTCTATCAAGATAATCATGTGGTTTTTGTCTTTAGTTCTGCTTATGTGATGAATTACATTCATTGATTTGCATATGCTAAACCAACCTTGCATCCTGGAGATGAAGCCAACTTGATCATGGTGAATAAACTTTTTGATGTGCTGCTGGATTTGATTTGCCAGTATTTTATTGAGGATTTTTGCATCAATGTTCATCAGGGATATTGGCCTAAAGTTTTCTTTTTCTGTTGTATCTCCACCAGGTTTGGGTATCAGGATGATGCTGGCTTCATACAATGAGTTAGATAGGAGTCCTTCCTTTTCAATTATTTGGAATAGTTTCAGTAGAGATGGTGCCAGCTCTTCTTTATGCCTCTGGTAGAATTCAGCTGTAAATCCATCTGGTCCTGGGCTTCTTTTTGGTTGGTAGTTTATTTATTACTGCCTCAATTTCAGAACTCATTATTGGTCTATTCAGGGATTCAGTTTCTTCCTGGTTCAGTCTTGGGAGGATGTATGTGTCCAGGAATTTATTCATGTCTTCTAGATTTTCTACTTTATGTTCATAGAATTGTTTATAGTATTGTCTGACAGTTATTTTGATGTAGAATCAGTGGTGATATCATCCTTATCATTTCTGATTGTGTCAATTTGATTCTTCTCCTTTATTAATTTAGCTAGTGGTCTATTTTATTAATTTTTTTTCCAAAAAACCAGTTCCTGGATTCATTGTTTTTTTTTTGAAGGGTTTTTTGTGTCTCCATCTCCTTCAGTTCTGCTCTGATTTTGATTATTTCTTGTTTTCTGCTAACTTTGGGGTTTGTTTGCTCTTGGTTCTCTAGTTATTTTAGTTGTGGTGTTATGTTGTTAATTTGAGATCTTTCCAGCTTTTTGATGTGGGCATGTAGTGCTGTGAATCTCCCCCTTAACTCTGCTTTAGCTGTATCCCAGAGATTCTGGTACATTGTCTCTTTGTTCTTATTAGTTTCAAAGAACTTCTTGATTTCTGCCTTAATTTCAGTTTTTACCCAGGAGTCATTCAGGAGCAGGTTATTCAATTTCCATGCAGTTGTGTGGTTTTGAGTGAATTTCTTAGCTTTGAGTTCTAATTTGATTGCACTGTGGTCTGAGAGACAGTTTGTTATGATTTCAGTTCTTTTGCATTTGCTGAGTTTTTTACTTCTGCATATATGATCAATTTTTGAGTAAGTGCCATGTGGTGATGAGAAGAATGCATATTCTGTTGTTTTTGGGTGAAGAGTTTTGTAGATATCTATCAGATGTGCTTGATCCAAAGCTGAGTTCAGGTCCTGAATATCTTTGTTAATTTTCTGTCTCGATGATCTTTTTAATATTGTCAGTGGGGTGTTAAAGTCTACCACTATTATTGTGTATGAGTCTAAGTCTCTTTGTAGGTCTCTGAGAACTTACTTTATGACTCTGGGTGCTCCTGTATTGTGTGCATATGTATTTAGGATAGTTAGCTCTTCTTGTTGAATTGAACCCTTTACTGATATGTAACACCCTTCTTTGCTTTTTTTTTGAGACGGAGTCTTGTTTTATCACCCAGGCTGGAGTACAATGGTGCAATCTCGCCTTACTGCAACCTTCGCCTCCTGGGTTCAAGAGATTCTCCTGCCTTCCTCTCCCAAGTGGCTGGGATTACAGGTGCCCACTTCCACACTCGGCTAATTTTTGTATTTTTAGTAGAGACTGGGTTTCACTATGTTGGCCAGGCTGGTCTCGAACTCC